GTTCCTGTGCCTAGTGTGAGCAGGCTCAGGAGGAGTCCGTCGCCGCCGCGGTCGCTAGAGGAAGCGTGCGGCTCCGAGGCTCTATCCGCCTTGGGGCGCGCCCCAATGTCAGTCGCGGGCCGGGGTGCAGGCCGTGGGCCGCCACTGCCCTAGCCGCGCCGACGGGGAGGTGGCCTCTTATATGGAATTTGGACCCCGGCGCTCCCCACCAGGGCTGGTGCCCCGGCCGCGGCTCTGGCGCAGCCCGCCGCCTCCCGCTAGGCGCTCGGGAAGAGGAGGAGACGCCGCCGGCTGCGCGCGCGGCGTGAGGACCGAGGCTCCCTGCTATAGGGGGCGGACGCACGGGAGGCGCTGGTGACCGAGCGGCTGTCGGGGCCGGAGCCTGGGACTCGGTGGACCTACAACTGCACCCGACGGGCCCCCAGGGTTGGGGCTTGGAGGAGTCCTGCCCGGGCGCCCTGCCCGCAGCCACCATGGCGGAGAATTGGAAGAACTGTTTCGAGGAAGAGCTCATCTGCCCCATCTGCCTGCACGTCTTCGTGGAGCCCGTGCAGCTGCCGTGCAAACACAACTTCTGCCGGGGCTGCATCGGCGAGGCGTGGGCCAAGGACAGCGGGCTGGTGCGCTGCCCGGAGTGCAACCAGGCCTACAACCAGAAGCCGGGCTTGGAGAAGAACCTGAAGCTCACCAACATCGTGGAGAAGTTCAACGCCCTGCACGTGGAGAAGCCGCCGGCGGCGCTGCACTGCGTGTTCTGCCGCCGCGGCCCCCCGCTGCCCGCGCAGAAGGTCTGCCTGCGCTGCGAGGCGCCCTGCTGCCAGTCCCACGTGCAGACGCACCTGCAGCAGCCCTCCACCGCCCGCGGGCACCTCCTGGTGGAGGCGGACGACGTGCGGGCCTGGAGCTGCCCGCAGCACAACGCCTACCGCCTCTACCACTGCGAGGCCGAGCAGGTGGCGGTGTGCCAGTACTGCTGCTACTACAGTGGCGCTCATCAGGGACACTCGGTGTGCGACGTGGAGATCCGGAGGAATGAGATCCGGGCAAGTACCCCGTGTACACACACACACACACACACACACTCCTTCCTGTCGGGACCAGTGTCTTTTCATCGGGACAGACTGTTGAGACCTCAGGCCAGAGGCCACCTTCCAAACTCTTCTACTTTGAAAGTTTTTTTGGGGGGAGGAGGGCAAGTCCTGGGAAGAAGGGGGCTCCCCTTGCGCTACTTGACATGCTCCCATCCACACCTGTGCTCTTGGGTTCATCTTGTGAGTCATTTGTAGACTTGGGTCTTGGGGCTGTTGGGGGCAGAGTTAGGGTGTTGGTTTGCTGTTTTGCAGGCAGCTCCCTCCCCCAGCGCTGTTTCTGTGGGCCCTCGGGGAAGTCACCAAGGCACTGACCCCAGTCCTGCTTCTCCAGCTGCTGTTTATGTAATGAATGTCCTGGTGCCACTGCTGTGGCTGACATGATCCATGGTGCTGGCATACCAATGAGGAAGTAAACAAAGCAGCCATGTTAGTTGCAGGCTCTATTGGAAACACATGGGGGTGCGGGTAAGGGCTTCCAGGGGGAGCATAGAATTCAGGGTATCTGTGGACCCCGCTCGGCCAGGCAGCAGTGCCCAGCACAGCGTCCCAACTGTTTGGATGATTCTCCAGTAACCTGCCCTCCGGGTGAGGCACCCTGCCCTGCTTGTGTCTGTGTGTTGCACACATATGCACACACGTCTGCAGGAACAGACCTTGAAGTGTGTGCCTCCCGTCACCCTGAGCCCTCTTTTTCCCAGCCCAGCCCTTGTTCGCAGCCCTCCCACATTTGGGGAAGGGAAGTGGCAGACGGAAAAAGAATCCTGTGGGTTTAAGGTTGAGCCGCCTTGAAATCTGGTTTGAGGCAGCTGGCTCCCCTGGGCAGTCGGCAGGGTGATTGTGGAACCTCACTCGTCCCCTCCCACTGTGTACACCCTGCAGCAGTGGCCAATGTCAAAACCGCCTTCCCCCTCAGGGCCAGGGCCTGGCTTTGCCAAAGGACTGAGGCTCTACTTCCGTCCCTTCCGTGGGGGGCAGGGGGTGGTGGTGGAGGAGAGGGAGGTACCCTCCCAGGTCCCCTGGCTTTCAGAGTTGAGTCATACCAGAAGGAAGGGGCTGGCCTGGCCCTTCAGAAGCCTCAGCTTGGGGCCTGGGTGTGATAAGTGACAAGCTTGGCCTTTGGAAGGACAGGGCGTGTTAATGGGTGGGGGCCCCTGGAGGCTAGTTGAGGCCAATGGGGAGCTTGGGTATGAGGAAGCTCCAGGCTGGAGCTGGTTGTAGATGGGGAGTTAGTTTCCTGTGAGAGGGACCAGTCAGAATGAGTCACTGTTTAGCAAATAAAACACACACACACACACACACACACACACAGCCAACAAAAGGCAGGAGGGCCTTTGCAGGCTGAGGGCGGGGATAGCAAATAAAATTTGCTGTATAATTAGTTTCCAATCAGATGGGCTAGCACTACGTTTTTGTGGTGCCAGAGCAGGCCACTGTTTTCTTAAAGAAAGTGTGGGGGCTGGGGAGAAGAGCCACTCCCCCCACCCCACCCCCATTACGGCTGGGAAAGGTGGAGGCCTTGGGGAAGCCTAGGGGAAGCAGATGAGACCCTGGTTTGCTTTCCATCCCCCAGGGGGTAAGGCTGGGCCCTGACTTTCCTCCGGATTGGGAAGCTGCTGCTATTAATAAAGAAGGAGGGGCTGGGGTGGGTGGAGACTGGGAAAAGCCTGGCTGTGCTCTGTCCTGGGATTGGCAGCGGGAGTGTGAGGGGAGGGGAAAAAAGGGGGAGTGTGACTGAACGGGATGGAGGATGGGCCAGCCACCTGGGGTGGTAGGTGGATGTATACCTGCACCCACAGTTGAGGTTTTACCTGTGTCTGAGTGCTGGCTAAGCTGTGTCTTTGATCGGGGTGGGGGGAAGGGCGTAATTGCACCTGCTTTGGTGGCAGGAGGGTAACAAGGTAGATTTGTGTCTTTGAGACTGGCTGCTTTACCTTCAAATGCACCTGTCTGCTGTCTGTGTCGTTGGGGGCTGGGAGTGGCAGTGGCAAGTCCAGGCAGCCTACATTGGGGTTCCCACCAGTAGGCCCCTGAATCCTCCCCCTCCAGGAAAGAGCAGGGTGGAGGCAGCCTCTGAACTATGTGAGCAGCTGGGCGCCTGTGTTCCTGTGCCTAGTGTGAGCAGGCTCAGGAGGAGTGGGTTGCATCAGGGCCAGATGTGCAATTCTGTGCATTTAGCATCTGTGCAGGGCAACCCGGGTCTCCTCCTCCTCCTCCTCCAGGCTCCTGGCCCCAGACCCTCCGGATTCTTGGTGGTGCCCCAGGGCACTGGAGTTGGAAAGCCTGCCTTAGCTTAGCCTAGCCTCCTGTCATTCAATTGTGGATTTGACTTGGTCTGAGTGGAGGAAGGAAGATCCCACCCCTTGATGGGGATAGGGTGGGAGTGGGCCCAGGGGAACATGGATGGATGGATGGACCTTCCCTTTCACCATAGTCTCTAGGCCAGACTGGGGACAGGGCTCCGGGGTCCCTGGGGTGCTCGGGAAAGCTGGCACAGGCCTGTGAACACAGCTGTGCCTTGCTCTTCCCTTTCTCCCTTCCCAAGGGGCTGCTGAAATGCCCTGTTTCTTGCATCTAGAACACCCAAGTAACCTCCCTGGTGGCCCTCATTTGCATACTCAGCACCCTGGGCCTCCCGGAGTTTACCCTGGGGAAGTCAGAGTTGTCCTAGGAGGGGTGAGCAGGAACCCAGGACCAGTCCTGACTGGGAATGGTGTTCTTGCTGGCTGCCGGAGGCTGAGGGTCTAAGATGGAGACCTCCAGTGGCGCCTGGTGGCACCCCCTTAGCACATGCCCCTCCTCAACAAGGAAAGAACTCTACTTATGTGTACGAAGGGGTTTCAGAAAGCGTGTGGAAAGTGTTCTCTTTGAACTCCAAAGGACTTTGTGAAGAGCCCTCGTATGGGGGGTGAGGGGCCATGTATGTCGGAGGGCATCTGTTGGAGGTTGTGTAGTCCTAGCTGTGTGCCCGTATCATCTCTCAGGTTCCCAGTCAAGATCTCCCTGAAAACGTTCCTTGTATCCTGAGGCTCAGACTTGAGATGAGGTGTTCTCTGAGGCTGGAATCCCAGTGCGGGCTCAGTTGGCAGTCTGCAACAGCCTGGGGTTGGGGTGCCCAGCTCACATTAGCCCTGGCTGAAGGGGTGACACTGGGATCCTGGCAGAGTCTATCTCCGGGTGGGCTGTGGAGGTCCGCCCTGGGCCAGCCCTATTACAGGGTGGTGGAGGGGCCTAGCAGCTTGCCCCTCCCCCAGCAAGCAGACCCCAGCCCCCAGGTTGTAGGTGGGGAGGGTGAGTGTCTGTGCAATGCCCCTTCCTGTAACTACCCCGAGTCTGTAGCTAGTTCTGGTTTGGTTCTTCCGCCTTGGGCCCCAAGAGGAACCCAGTCCCCCACCCCCACCCCAAGATCCTGCTGACACAGCCCTGTGCCTGTCATGCACGCCCTATTGATTACTCTGCCTCCTGCAGCTCTGGGTGACTGCATGCATGTCTGTCGGTGTGTGTGAGAGAGAAACTGAATGACTGCAAGCCATACTTGCTGGGTCCCTTCCAGTTGAAGTTGAGTGTGCGGCATGACATGACTGTTGTCAGCATGGCTGGGCTGCTGTGTGAGCCCCTGCCCCCAGCAATGGTAGATGGAGGGCTGTGTGTCTGAGCGGCCTCTGGCTTGTGTGTGACCTTCGCACCTGGTGTCAGATGCCTCTGCGAGAGGACAAACGGTCTCCCTTCAGGAGGGTACTGGAGGTGGGAGCCAGGCTGAGTCTGGGTGGGCCTAGGAACAAGGGGAAGCGGACTTGGGCCCCTGCCCTGGACTGAGCAGGCACCCTGGCCCAGCTCATCCCTGGCCCTGGGAACGCCTGCCTTCCCGGCTGGCTGGGCATTCAAATCCAGACAAAGGGGGGCTTTCTCTCCCGCGCCTCTTTGTTCTGCTGCCCCAGAGTGCTGCTCTCTGAAGGTAAAAGCTAATTCCGCTCCACAGCTGAGAAACCCCCTCTGGGTCCACGAGGCTTGCCACTCAGGGGGCTCCCTCTCCTTGCCCTGCTCCCCCCTCCCACACTCTCTGTCTGGGTCTAGTACCCCAGCCCTGGGCTGAAGCCTGGCGGGGCTGGTGCGTGGCATGTCTCGGACTGGGAATTTTTCTGACAGTAGGGAGTGCTATGGACTTGGGCAGGGAGGGGGCTGTTGTGTGGCATGGGACAGCTCTGAACCCAGGGCAGCAGCCAGGGGTGCCAATGGTTTGAGAGTCCTCTGGCCCAGGACACAGCCCAGGCCTCCTCTTGCCCCTCCTCCCTCCTATTCTAAGGACTGCTGGAGCCAACTTTACTTAGTCTCCATCTGAAAACCTGAAATCTGCCCCTTTCCCAGCCCCTGGGGGCCCTGGGCCCTGCTAACCTGGCTTCTCTTCAAGGTTCACATGAGGGGTTTAGGATTATTTATTCCCTTCCATGCTACCCAGAGTCCTCACAGCCTCACCTGTCTGCCAGTCCAGCCTGGTATCAAAAATGGCAGCTGGGCCTGGCCACTCAGGTCCCAGGGGATATGTGGCAGGAGTGTAGGGTAGGACAGCTCCCCGCTCTCCAGGCTTGGGTGGTGGGGGGCAGAGAGTATGGGAGGGTAGGTCTGGGGATCAGGGCATTCTGGGGCCCTGGTTCTGGGGACTTCTCGACCCTTCTAGACCCTAAAGTAGACTGTGGAAGTCCCTGAGGAGCCTAGGGAACAGGTCTTGCCTGGCTCAGGGGGGCTGGGTTGTGGCTTTTCTTCCCAACCCTAAAAGCCTGGTTCCTGGGTCACAGGCCTCAAGTGCTCTGTCCAGAGCTTGGGGGGGTGAGCCACAGTTGAGGGGCCCCAGGAAGGGCTCCCCCCACGTGGCCTGGTAGGGAATCTGGTCCCCCTTGGCTGTGGGTTGTTAGCTGCGCAGGAAAGGGCCTCATGGGCCTTAAAAGAGGAGGCAGGGAGAAGTTAAGGTAGAAAGGAAGCTGTTCGTAATTGGGGGTTGGTGGGGCCTGCCTTTCTCTGCTCCTCACCTTCCTGTGTCTCAGCCACAACTGGGGAGGTGGTCCAGTGAGAGACCAGACAGATGGACACTGGCTGACTGACTGAACAGCAGGAGTAAGTGTTTCCCACCTGCCCGGGTTTCCTAGACTTGAGGTAGCAGTGACCCCTGCCCACCCTGCCTTAGGCGGCTCAGGCAGGCCCTACTTGGATAAGCGGGCTGCCGGGGGTGGGGGGGGGTGGGGGGGTGTCTCTCCAGCAAGCTTCCTTCCCCTTCCTGCCCTCTCCCCCCACCCATGCAACCGAGACAAGCACCTGATGGTCCTGAACTGGGGGAGGGGAAATGAAACCCACCCACCATGGTGCTAGGGTACATGGGCCGCTGCTGCAGCCATGAAGTGGAAGACACTGCAGGGCCCCAGGGTACAAGTGCCATCAGGGGAGCGACACTAAGAAAAGTGAGAAGAGGAAGGGGTCAAGCCCCACCTACCCACCCACCACCAGGACTGGCAGGGGGACCTCCGTGGTTCTGGCTGCAGGGACAGTCCCAAGTTGCCTAGAGCCCTCCTGGGCCTCAGCAGGGTCCTCGGACTGGCTCCATTCCCACCGTTTAGAAACCTGGGCCTGCCTCTTTTCTAGCTTGCACCGAGCCTCACCCCCGGCACCCCGAGACTGGCACTGATAAGCGGGGAGCCAGCCCACAGTGTGTGCCAGCAGCCTGTCAGATGTTCTGGGCACAGGAGTGGCCTGGAGCCTGAAGGACTGCTTGAGTGTGGGCACAGGACAGGGGCGGAAGATTTGAGGGCAGAGTTAGTTAGAGAGGAGGAAACAGGTCTCACGTTCTGGATGGGGCAGGCATCCCGCAGTGCCCTGGGGAGCTCAGCATGCCAGGCTCCCAGTGCGGGCGTACTTGCGAGTACAGAGACTTTAGGTCTTCAAAGAGTTGGTGAAAAAATAGAATTGAAAGGCCCCGGAATTCCCCACAGACTTTCTGATGCCCCTTGCATGGGTGAAGTTAGGGGTGACTGCTGTGCATGAGGTGGGCCCAGCATGTGTTCGTGCATGGGCCGGTTTCAGAGGTAAGACGATGCGCTAGCACCTCTGCCCAGCTCTCCACCCAGGCTCCCCTTCCAGGCTCCGACCTTCACACTGCCGTGCCCCTGCCCGTGGCATTGGCGGTGGAGGCGGAGGCCCTGCTGAAGGGGCAAGAGCTCCTGGGGCAGGGCCGCCTGGGTCTGCTTCTTGGAGGTCTTGTCCTGGCCCCTTACTGAAAGGCCAGCTTTAGGCCGGGGTGGGGTGGGGTGGGGGACCCCGGACTTCCCCAGTTTAGAATCTAAGAGCCTTAGCCTCCCCTACTCTCCAACCTCCTCCTGCACGTAGAGCCCAAGTCTTTGTTGTCTAGGTAGCCAGCACCTCCACAAGAGGTGTGGCTCTTGTTGGCCGTGGTTTCCTTCTGTGTGAGTTGGGCTAGAAGGGGTGAATTCATAACGGCTGGGTGCTTTGGGTGGGAGTGAAGGTCATGGAGTCACACTTGAAGGTGACTCTGGAGGCCCTTCCGAGGACAAAAGCGAAGCACCCCTCGCTCACTGAGTGGACATTTTACTGCTGCAAGCCAGGCTTGTGTGCAAGTGTGTTGCAAACCTTCGTTTCTTTGTTTCTTTTAGCTGCTTTCTGCCCCTGTAGGGAGCTCGGGCCTCTGTGTGGCCTGGCTGAGCAGTGGGTGGAGAAGACCAGCAGCGAAGCCATGTTTTGAAGGAGGACGGGGCAGCATGTCCAGGAGAATTTCCCACGGTGATGGGGGTTGTCCGTAGATGGTGTCCACACTAACCACTGGCTCAGTTGGCTCCGGAGCCCTCGAAGTGTGGCTGATACCACTAAGGAGCTCAAGTTCAAGTTTTTCCAACTGGGTGTGAAGAGGCACACGTGACCGGTGGCTAATGCATGGGACAGCAGGCAGATTGTGACTACCCTCCACCTGGTCAGGACGAGGAGGGAAGGGGGTCATCGTGAAAGGCTTCCCGGAGGGTCTCGGGTATAATTCGAGCCTTGAGGGACTAGACGAAAGGTCGGGGGAGGCCCTGTGGATTGCAAGGACAAGCGCCGAACTCGAGGGAGTAAGAATGAGCTCGGAGGGTTGGGAGCAGCACAGCAGCCCCGCTGGCCAGGAGAAGTAGGTGATAAGGGAGCATTCATTGCCATGCCAACAGACTGTTTGAAAGGAAGGAGCCATTGAGGGTTCTGGAGAAAGGAGAGAGAGACCCTGTTTAAAGAGGGGTGTCTGTTAAGGAAGGTGTCGGGACACGATGCAGCCAACACGGACAGGCCTGGGGGGAAGTGGGTGGAGGGAACCCCATGAATACTCAGGCCCAGCCGAAGGAAGTGTGGCTGGCCTGGGAGCTCCAGAGAGCCAGGTCTTCGTCCTGCCTGAGTTCACCTGACGGGCTGAGGGAGCGAGGAGCCCAGAGGTCTAAAGCTCAGTGTCAAAAACCAAGGCGTGCTGGGGTGGCCGGCGAGGTGCCCTGGCGTAGGACATGTGCTTGACAGGAGCTTTGAACTGGAAGCCCGAGGGTCTTGTCATCTTGGCAGTCAGTTGTCCCTCTGAATCTTGGGGCGCTCTCCTCTAAGAGAGGGTTCTGAGAGAGAGGGGCAGCCTGGTTTGGATGAGCATAGACCCTGTTGTCAGATCACCTGGGTGTGTATACCAGCTGCCACTTCCTAGCCCAGTGACTTTTAGGCAAAGTACTCAACCTCTTTGGGCCTCAGCTTCCTTTTCTGTAAAAAGCAGGTAATAATGGGGCCCACCTCCTGGCAGGACTGGGAAGATTAGATAAGGCAGGACAGGAAATGTGCTTGGAGTCCAGGCTGACCCCACCCCTCTCTTCCCCTCCCCGGCCCTCCCCTCGGTTTAAGCTAGCCCAGGCTTTTGGCGGCCTGGGTCAGAGATTGCCCAGCCAGCTGTTGGCAGGTCCCTGAGGTTACAGGAGTGGGGTGGGGGTGGCTGGACGGCAGTGGTTTCAGGTCAGCTCCATCAAAGGATGAGTCTGTAAAGGGGAAGGTCGTGCTCTCCCACCCTGGGGAAGAGGCAGAGCCATGGGCCTGGGCCCCCTCTGATGTCCCTTCCCCACCTGTCCCTGCAGAAGATGCTGATGAAGCAGCAGGACCGGCTGGAGGAGAGGGAGCAGGATATTGAGGACCAGCTGTACAAACTGGAGTCCGACAAGCGCCTGGTGGAGGTAGCGCAGCCCTGGGCCTCGGAGGCATGGGGTGGGGGCTGCGGAGGGGTGGGGGGTGGGGAACAGGAATCAGGGTTAGTTCCTTCCTTAGGATCTCATGGGACCCACAGCTCTGGGCCTAGGACCCTCTGATCAGCCATTTGATGTGGGTCACCCCATCGATGCCAGGCGTGGCTGACCGAGAGCCCCCTGCTACCCTGTGGGAACCACCAGGCCTCTGGGCCCCCAGGGCTCCCCGCAGATTGGGAGTCCCAGATGACACTGTGCAGGAAGTAAGGGCTCCCCTGCCTGTGCCCGCAGGAGAAGGTGAGCCAGCTGAAGGAGGAGGTGCGGCTGCAGTACGAGAAGCTGCACCAGCTGCTGGACGAAGACCTGCGGCAGACCGTGGAGGTCCTGGACAAGGCCCAGGCCAAGTTCTGCAGCGAGAACGCAGCGCAGGCGCTGCACCTCGGCGAGCGCATGCAGGAAGCCAAGAAGCTGCTGGGCTCCATGCAGATGCTCTTCGACAAGACAGAGGACGTCAGCTTCATGAAGGTGGGCCCAGGCCAGGGGACCCGGCAGGGGAAGCAGGGGGCCCTACATTGACAGCTGCAGTCTTCTGAGACTCCCAACCAACCAGTTTCCCTGTCGGGTAGTGTCCTCACTCATGTGCCCTTGACTCTGGAGCCAGCCTTGGGAGATGTGTGTATGTGTGTGTGTCAGAACCCTCTCCTCTCTCTAGTTCTGTGACTGGGTGGGGCGTACCGCTCCCCATGTCTGAGTTCCTTCACCTCCTAAATGAATCTGCTTTTACTGGTCTGTCCTTTAGGCAAACACCACCACCACCCCCCAAAAAAAAATTGTGGGAAAGACAGAAAGGAGGAAAAAATGTTTGCAACTCAATTAGTAGCAGAAGCTGACCTGAATGGCTGTTGAGCATTTGCAGCCTTTCTTTATCTCCCTGGGTGGGAACCATCCAGTGTTTTGTTGCAGGTATGTGAATGTGTTGCCTTGGGTACCCACCCCCACGTCCTGCTGGGGGTGCTAAGTACTACGGGTGTGAGCACCACAGATTTCTTGTGAAATCCCAACCACTGTCCAAATTTCAAAATTCATTTGGCTCCAAAGATTTCAGGGACGGAGGCTCTGCAGACCCTGCCGCCGCCTCGGCTAGCTGTGCAGCTGCCGCTAGAGGTGCAAGGTTTCTCAAGCGGGGCAGACCTCGGTTCTTGGCTTCGCACGATGAAAGAATTCACGCCGAAGCCTGTTTTGTAATCCAAGTGGGTTTGCATGAAGGACAGGACAAGTTTCAGGTTTTACAGTCTCAAAGGGGTTCACAACTGGGCCTGAACAACCACGTGGAAAAGAGCACCCACACATGAGAGTATGTGGGCCAAGAGGCTGTGGGCCCCAAGTAAGCCCGGAGCAGATGTGCGCACCCTCTCGGGGGAGGGAGACCCTCCCCCTCTAGCTGCCTCTGGCCCAGAGCAGGGCAAGAGAGAGTCCCCGAGCATGCTCCCTGCCTTTATTCTAGTCTACCCCCTGGCTGAGGGAAGGTGTGGTGGATGGTACTGTTTGACCCCACCGGCTGGGTTAAGCTCACCTGGGTGATGTCATGAGCCTGGGCCTAGGTTAGCCCACTCAGGTGTTCCCTCCATCTGGCTGGGGGCTTGAGTATGAGCATGCTCAGTTTGGGGTCTTCATAGGTATCTAATGGTTGCTTGATTTCTTTCCAACTTCTATGGGGGCCTTTGCAGGCATGGGAGGGACAACCCCCCTGTCCCTAAGCTAGCTACCTAACAGAGCCAGTATCTGTCATGTTGTAGGCACCGGGTAAATGTTAACTGTGTTTATCTTTGGAAAATGAAGCGCGCCCCCCCCCCCCTTACCTGGGCTAGAATCAGAAGTCAACCCTGCCTGGGGGAGGGAGGATGGGGCCAGCTGCCTCTCCCCTCCCCCAGGTTACCTGTCCCATCCGCTGACCCTGCTCTCTCTCCCCTCCCCTCCCCTCCAGAACACCAAGTCTGTGAAGATCCTAATGGACAGGTGAGTAGAAGGCCACCAGCACTTGGGGGACCGTGGGGGCGGGGGGCTGGGAGGAATAGGCCCACCGGTGACACCTCCTCACAGCAGATGCCCATCCACTGCCCCCAGGACCCAGACCTGCACGGGCAGCAGCCTTTCTCCCCCTAAGATCGGCCACCTGAACTCAAAGCTCTTCTTGAACGAGGTAGCCAAGAAGGAGAAGCAGCTACGGAAGATGCTAGAAGGTGAGGGTGGGGTTCCACAATAGAAGGGAGAGAGAGCCCTTGGGGTCAGAGCCTTTCCTCTGAGAGGCAGTGCAGTCTCACTTTTCTGGCTGGCTTGGGCACAAACGGAGCCTGGGTTTCGTCAGCTGTAAAATGGGAATCACGAGGGACTCTGCTTCCTCTGGGAACCAATAGCGAGCATGAACTAGACGACAGCGACGGGTGCGTGGTGTCCTGTGCTGGGCCTAGAAACACGGCAGTTCCCCAGGGGAGTGGGAGGAGGCTTGGGTGGCTGATGGATGGGCCTTTGGTAACTTTGTCACCATACTCTCTACAGGCCCCTTCAGCACACCGGTCCCCTTCTTGCAGAGCGTCCCCCTGTACCCGTGTGGCGTGAGCAGCTCTGGGGCGGAAAAGCGCAAGCACTCCACGGCCTTCCCTGAGGCCAGCTTCCTAGAGACGTCTTCGGGCCCTGTGGGCGGCCAGTACGGGGCGGCGGGCACAGCCAGCGGCGAGGGCCAGTCTGGGCAGCCCCTGGGGCCATGCAGCTCCACACAGCACTTGGTGGCCCTGCCAGGTGGTGCCCAACCAGTACACTCGAGTCCTGTGTTTCCCCCGTCGCAGTACCCCAACGGCTCTGCTGCCCAGCAGTCCATGCTCCCCCAGTATGGCGGCCGCAAGATTCTCGTCTGCTCTGTGGACAACTGTTACTGCTCTTCCGTGGCCAACCATGGCAGCCACCAGCCCTACCCCCGCTCCGGTCACTTCCCCTGGACAGTGCCCTCTCAAGAGTATTCACACCCGCTCCCGCCCACACCCTCAGTCCCCCAGTCCCTCCCTGGCCTGGCAGTCAGAGACTGGCTGGATGCCTCCCAGCAGCCGGGCCACCAGGATTTCTACAGGGTGTATGGGCAGCCGTCCACCAAACACTATGTGACGAGCTAACGCCACGCGGGCAGCAGGACACTGGGGAATCTTCCCCCCCAGCTCCTGGTGGCTCGGGAATTATGCATTCAGAGACGGACCTTCCTCCCTTTCCTCTCCTCCATTCCCATCTGTCTTTCCTTTAGGATTTGGTTTTGTTTTTTGTTTGTTTTTAAATCTTCTGGACGTGGAGGTGACAGTGGGAGCGGGGCTGGGGCCACAGATGGCCCTTGGAGTGGGGAGGTGTCTGTCTCAAGGCACTGAGCTCTCTGTCTCTCCTCCCCCCCTCTCCTTTTTTCTTCTATTCTGCCCCCTTCACACCCCCCAGGGCTGGAAGGCACCTCAGCTTCCCCTAGGAGGAAGGGCCGGTGCCCCCTGGCCTGTGGCCTGTTTGCTCCTGGCAGTTTTCCAGTGGGGCCCGGGTGAACACTGATTAAGGGATGACCTGTAGAGGGTGGAGCCTTTATTATTTTTTTCCCCCCAAACCAAGAATGATTTCTTCTGCTTCCTTCTCACCGCCCTCCCAGAATGGAGTTCAAAGGCCACTTCTCACACAGCTTTTGGCATCTTTAGCCTCAGAATGGAATCTTTTAAAGATAGGAGCCCCAGGGCCAGGAAAGGGGAAAAGCAAAAGCAAATAATAATAATATTAATAATAATAAAGATAAATAAATGAAATAATAATTTAAAAAAAAGAAACAACAGTATAGCCCTTGATGAGGTCAGCGGAGCCGGGGGAGGGCTGCCCCCCCCAACCCACCCCTGGTCCTTGCCTGCGTTTGGACACAACAACTTCCTGTAGCAGTAAGCACGCTGTATGAGCCGTGGACTTCCTGTTCCCAGGGCGCAGGTATTATTTTGTAATCTCCAATGCACACACCAAAACCCAACCTTCTAATAAACACGACGGCGCAGTCCCCACTCCCTGCTTTGCCTCGCCCCCGCACCCGATGCCCCAGGTCTGGGGTCTTTAAGCCTTGGTGTGGGGAGGGAGGCCCCCAGTAACAGAAGCTCTTCACTGCCTGGTCTTGATTCTGCCCTCTTGGGTCTAGCTGGCCCCAGGCATGTCGGTTTGTCAGGTACTACAAGTCTTGGCCTTGGCTTTGATTGACAAATATTTGCTAAGGGCCCCCCAGGCCTGGCCCCATGCTGCCACGTCCTTGGCATCTCTTTGAGGTCCTGCCAATGTGCTCTTAGCTAGGACAGACAAAGGAGAAACACCTTTTTGTGAGCCTGGCAACATTTGCCTCCTTCAGTCCACAAATATTTACTAAGCGCATGCTGAGTGCCAGGTACCACGCAGGGCCATGGGCCTAGCAGCTGTGCTCAAGGAGCTTCTCCTTGGCCCCCGGGCAGCAAGGGGTCACTGGCTGACCTGCAGCTCTGGCCCTGCCCAGGAAGGAAGGGTGGTCAGGAAAGTGACGTCTAATGGGGCTGAGGGAGAACTCCACAGCCTTTTCACAGCTTTTACTTCCAGTGGGTTGGGGCCAGACGAAAAAGATGTTCCATGCCCATCCTCTAGCAGAGTCTCTCCAAGTCTCAAGCTTGACCTTGCAATTTGTTGAAAGGCTGACTCCTGATCTCAGGGAGCTCAGGAACCTGCATTCTTTACTCGCTGGTGATAGACCCTAGACTTAGAGAAGTGCTGCCCAGAGAAGCTGGCCGAGGGTCTGCCTGCCAGTGGGTCTGGAGCCAGGGGTCTGCAACAGACTGGTTTTGTTGCCAGGGTCTGCCTGTGTTGTAAGTCACCTGTGCCCATCTTCCAGGCACCAGGGGGGCATCCAGTTTTCTCCTTGTCTGGGCAGGATGGGTGCCTGAACACCTCTCCCCTGAAAGTCTTAAAGCAGTGGTTCTCAACCTTCCTAATGTCTAGACCCTTTCATACAGTTCCTCATGTTGTGACCCCCCCAACCATAAGATTATTGTTTTTTTGCTACTGTTATAAATCGGGTGACCCCTGTGAAAGAGTCGTTTGACCCACAAAGGGGTTGAGACCCACAGGTTGAGGAGAACCACTGGTCTAGAGCAGAGAGAGAGAGAGGCTTATGGGTGAGCCCAGGCCTTGCTGACCCCTGGTCACCCATCCTTTCAGAAAAATGGTCTCAGATGTGAGGACTTGCACAGGCCGTGCCCCCTAGGCAGTGCACTGGACTGGACTGGTCCAAACCAGAGTCTGGGGGCCTGCAAAATGCCTCCCTCTTCCTGTGGGAATAGATGACTTGACCGTTGTCAGCGTGGTGATGGTGGTGGATTCTTGCTTTCCCTTGCCCAGTTTGGACTGAAGATCGAGCCAGAAGCTGCATGACCACAGCTGTCTGCCTCCATCCACCCCCACTCCCCCTGTGTGGCTCTTACAGAAAGCTGGAAAACCAGCCCAGGGTAAAGGCTGGCCAAGCTCCACTCACGTGGCCTCTGGTCACACCACTCCCAATGTCCCAGGAGCTCTTGGACATCCCCTGAGTCAAGAGTTGACCGTGGCAGGAAATTGCCCGGTTAATTTTGTGTTTGGTTTTCGATGATGGGAGGGGGTCTTTTTGCCGGATACAGAGGAAAGTGGGTGAGGGTTTGATGGGCCTTTTGGAAGCTCACCTCGCACAACCACACCCTTGGGCACATAGCTGTGAAGCCAGCTGCCACAGGCATGGCCTCGGGGTGCCAAAGGGAGACAGCTCCACCCAGCTGTCCCCAGCCCTCCAGCTGTCCCTGGTTTTGCAGGAGCAGCTGTCACCCATCTCCCAAAAGGGTCAAGGCCGAGGAGGCTCAGGCAGAGCTGGAGCTGCCCCAGGACACTGGTGGACTCCAGAAAGCATCTGGGGGCCTTCCCTGCCCCGACCTGGTGTGCACGCCCTGGGCTCACATCCGTTAACCACTTACCCTCCCAACCCCAGGCGGAGTCTCCTACCCTTTCCCCACCCCCACCTCACCCAGCCCACCGCTCCTCCCCTTTCCGGGAAGGGCTGGGTGTCGGGGCGGCACAAGGCCCCCCACCCGAAGGCCAGGGGCGGGGCCCTAGGGCCCAGATGTGCAGAACCCGCAGGGAGGTGGGGCGATTGCTAGGGGGTTTCCTCGGCCGCCGCCCCCACTAGCTCGAACTCTTTCATGTCGCCGCCCTCCGGGGCCGGGCCTGCAGCCTGAGCCGAGCAGCTGGCCTGCTCCCTGCTCCGCCCTCAGCCCGCTCCCAGCTGTCTCTGGGGTGAGGCCGGGCAGCTGGGGAACAGCTGCAAGGCGGGGGCCGGGGAGGGGGTGCCCAGATGCCCCCAGCAACTGCCGGAAACAGTCCCCGCGTCGAGCAGGGACGGGGGAGGGCGACGCCGGGGGCATCTGGCCAAGGCCGCCGAGAGCGAGCAGGCCCCAGATCAAAGGCCCCTCCCCGCTTCAGGGGGGCCCCCGGAGGGGGGGGGGCAGCCGGGAATGTCGTGAAGGCGGCTCCGCGGAATCAGTGGCCCTAGACCCCACGGCCAACCCCCATTTCTGGTGTCCCCTGGTCTATTCACACGCATCTACGCAGACCTCCTCCTTGTCACCCCGCCCCTTCCGCAGGCACCGTCGCGGTCCCCTTACATCTGAGGGTGGGGAAGGGCCCTGGGGCTGCCTTCCCCGCCGCCTGCGCCTGCCCAGGGCCTGTGGCTTGGGGGTGGGAGGGTAGTTTGGTTTGCACGGGAAGACCGTCTGTTGTTTGAACCCTTCTCCATGTGGGGTGGGGAAGGAAGGTTGGCCAGTGGGCTCTGATACCTTTGGACAGACCCCGCAACATGTCAGCCTCTCTCTCTTTTAGTGAGGGTTGCCCCGTACGATTTGGGGATTTGGAAACACTTCTGGGAGATCATTTTAGAAACAGCCGTCCCCAGATCCTGGGGTCCTGGCTCTGCTTCTAGAACCCTGTGAGTACTGTTATTGGAGCGAACGGGGCAAGGAATGGAATTCGGGCACTCGGAGCTCACCTGGGACAAGGGCTTGGGATTCAGGCTGTTCCTGGGCTAACATTCCAGACACTTCTCTGAAGGCTAAGAAGAATGAGAAAGAGATCAGAAGGTCGGCAGAGGCAGCCAGGGTTTGAGGGCTCATGGTGAGAAATTAGGGGCGCTAGCAGAAGGGGCTGGCCCGGTTGGAGAAGCCACTTCTTTCTTCAGTTTCTTTCTATCCACAGCACGCTACCCTTTTACGTTTGAGCCCCAAAGCTTTCTTCCCCTGCAGAGTGGGCTGTGTCCAGTCGCTCAATTTGACTCCTCCAGAAATCAGCAACTCCAGAGCCCCTCTCCCTCAGTGAGCCTTCTTCCAGGTAACACGTGGAAACCTGGTAGGTGGGGCGCTCGAACCAAAAGCCACGCCCGCTGCAGTAGAGTCCACTGGGACTCACAATGACCCTCTAGGACAGAGTAGAACGCCCTCAGGGCTTCCCAGGGCTGTGATCTTTACAGAAGCTCCTGTGGAGCCATGGCGGTTCCAACCATTGACCTTTCGAGATGAACAGGCCAGCTTGGGGCTCTCCATGCTCACCATGGTGTGTGTGAATCACACCGTCTTAAGCAAGGGAGCCTTCAAGAGCCCAGGGCTGCTTCCCTGAAATCCCTCTTCTCCCTGGCCTTTATGATGCTGAGTTCTGTACAGAGTGGGGGTGGGGTGGTGTCCTTTAGAGGAAACGAGTTTTCTTTCATTGCTATGTGGTTAATTCATCTCAAATGCAGCAAGCTGGGATATTGATGACTTCCCCTTGCACTAGATCTTCAATCATTGGGTCTGCTCTGTGGTATGCAATATTTTTCCTTATTTACATGAAGGCAAGAAGAGAGAGAGCAAAACAAACTATGGCTAACTTTGAGATGCCTGGGAATTCCAGAACACTTCTCTGTGCTCACACTGCACCCATACACCGACCAAGAGGCAACCGAACCAGGGAATGCATGCCTGGTTTAAAATTAGGGAAGGTGTGTGTCGGGATAGTATCCTTTCATACTTATTCCATCTGTCTGCTGAGCAAATGATCCGAGAAGCTGGACTGTATGAAGGAGAACTGAGCATCAGGATTGGCGGAACGTTTGTTAACAGGCTGCGATGTGCAGCTGACACAGCCCAAAGCTTGCCGAAAGTGAGGAGGGCTTGGAACCCTTGTTGATGAAGATCAGAGTCTACAGCATTCAATACGGATCCCAACTCAGTGTAAAGAAAACAAAAATTCTCACAACTGGACCAGTATATAAATATGTAAGTGGAGAAACGATAGAAGACACTTAGGATTTCATTTTGCTTAGATGACTATGGAGTCAATGCTTCTAGAAGCAGCAGTAAAGAAATCAGATGTTTTATATTGAGCAAATCTACCACATAAGACTTCTTTAAAATGTGAAAGAGCAAGGACATCACTTTGAAAACTGAGGTGCCCCTGACCCAAACCATGGCATTTTCGATTGCTTTCTACGCAGATGGCATAGAGGGTTATATGTTGGCCTGCCAACCAAACAGTCAGTTGTTCAAAACCACCAGCCATTCTGAGGGAGAGAGATACGTTTCTCTTCCTGTGCACAGTTATAGTCTCAGAAATCCACAGGGGCAGTTCAGCCTTGTCCTGCAGGCCTGCTAAGCTCTCTACCCACGAGTTTTGTTCTGAGCCTATGCGTATGAAAGTTGGACAAGGAGTGAGGAAGACCAGAGAAGAAGTGATGCATTTGAATGTAGGTGAAGACACTTTTGAAAGTACTGTGGACTCCCCGAACAAACAAATCTGTCTTGGAAGAAGTACAGCCAGAATGCTCCTTAGAATGAAGATGGTGAGGCAGGTTGTCCGTAGAGACCAGTCCTTGAAAACAGACATGGTGTTTGGTGGCATAGAAGAGAAAGCTGTTGAGATGGATTGACAGTGGGCTCAACCAATGAAAGGGGATGACATAAAGTGGGGATGGTGCAGGCCTGGGCAGCGGGGTACT